TATCCGTAAATACTAAACCCTATCCCTAAATACTAAACGTTCTTCCCGTAGATACCTTGCTGTAAATTTGTTGAAAACGTAAGAGTTAATACAATTAAACTGTTGTAACTGAAGGAAGGGCTTCAGCTCATCCAATTTCTTCTAATTGTCTTAGTGAGAGACATACTGCCTTACAATCAGTTTTCAGAAGTGGTTTTAAAGGCAGTAGCAGTAAATCGATTTTGACAAGCCGTTAAGTATGACTGAAAACAGATATGGGCTTTACAGTGTCCAATAATTTTCAAATATCTCGGGCAAGATTCATGATTCCCATATGTAGCTGCATAAAGCACAGCTCCTGAACACCTTAGTCCGCCCAGTGTTACCCGTAATGCTGACCCGACTTTAGTCCCGTGCATGTTCACAAAGTTTATCATTAAACATGAATAATCTGTATACCACATCTACATTATTTTCAGAAATGAAAGTGTTGATGTCCATTATTTTGTAAATACTGAGATTTATATAAAAGGCCATTTTTCGTTACAAATTATTTCACTGAAGAAATACTGACTACTTGAATTTGTTCCTTTTCCTGTCAAGCCAGGTCATGCCTAGAACAATAAAAAGAATTTACAGATTACAGCCTGATCTGGTATTTAGTTAACAGATTTTCATCTTATGCCAGATATTTTGTTTAAAAGATTGTAAACAGAGACAGTGGTTTTAGAGCAAAGATAACCTTCATTTCAGTAATGGCTATAAGCTTAAGAAAAACCCACCAAACTCGCTTTCAGACACCAGAACCCTCCTCAGTTCTAAGGAGATAATAGCAAACTTCACAGACATACATTCTCCTCAAAACACCAAGGTATTTTTAAAGTATGTCTCAGACCACAACACCAGAACACCATTACTTCTAATTATTATAATTAGCTCTAATTAAACAGAAGCCTCAGCTGAAATGCTCAGTAACAACATAGATGTGACTACAATGTAATTATTTTTACTAGAGTCTCAAATAGAAACAAGCTTAAGAGATACGGGCTCCTCATATGGGCTTTTCCCCAATATTAAACCCAGACTACCTACGTCTGCCCCGAGAGGCAGCTTCGAACTTCAACTTGTTGGGGTAGAGTATCCTAGGTAGGAAGGGATAGTGGAAGCAGTCAGAAATAGTTTAGGTTGATGGTTCAGGTCGGGAAGCCTGGCCACTACTACGGGAAGTGCTTCGACATCCGAGCAGGATCAGTCTTGAATCCTAACTGTGTGGCACAAACCACAAGGTAAGTTAAAACTTTGGAATTAAAAGTGTAGTTCGCACCTCTGGCACAAAGAGCTAGAACACAAAAATAGAAACTAGGCAAGCTGGTGCTGGTATCGGCTCGGAGCACGGGGAGTAAATATCAGGTATTGTAGTTTTTCAGTTCAGGAAAGTCCCATCCTGACCAGAAGGGTCAAAAATAGCGGCTCCCGTGAGATCAGAGGACAACTGGAAGCCATGCCACCCAGAGCTTTAGAAAATCTACTTCACATTGTGCATTGATGAGGAGTGAATAAAATTGATAAGGATGTGTAAACCAGAAAGTTTCCTCGACACAGAATAGTCCATTTTTGCTACATGCAAGGGATTATTATGCTTTTACAATTGCAGAGAATGAAGTAAAGGCTACATCAGAGTTTTGTTTCTATTGAATTGAGATTTCTCCTATTCTAGTATTCCGCTACCAGCAATTATGATTTAATATTTTTATTACATCAAAAACTGTAAGTTCATTGCATCAGTATTCATAGCGCCCAATATAAAATACAAGCTTTCAAAACCATGACTTCCAGGAATGCTTCTGGCTTCCAGCATTTCACAGAGAACCTGGCCCTTCAACTGCCACAAATCCCTGCAGACAAATGTGAATTTGCATCATTAACACAAAAGCAGAGACAGCTGTGTTTACGATGATGCATAACTGGAAAAACAAAACAAAACAAAACAAAATCAGAGTAAGTGTAATATTTAAATAAAGTTTCTCAGTTTTCAGTGAACTTTATAGGGTTCATCATGACTTCGTGTTGTGCTGGACAGAAAAACCTTCATTGTCCACTGCTGGAAAAGAATCAGCTCACTCAAGGAGAGCAAGCGCACACGAGTTCTCTGTCTGGTACAATAACAGACAACCTGACGTCATTATTAAAAGACAAATAATGTTGACTACAGAGCAACCTGGCAGCTGTTTCAGGAGGCTGATGGGATGTCTGGTCCAGCAAACCAGTGAGACCAGCAAATTTTGGTGGGACTTAAACAAGATGCAGCTAGTTCAGACAAGGGTTTGGGGTTATTTTGTTTTTCAGAGATCTCGCTCCAAATACTGCAATTATGAAGTGTGAAAAGCAATTCTTGGGAAGCCCCAATGAAGAGAGAAAATATGCTTGAGTTTTATAAGTAAACAGTAACATGTTCTTCAGCAAATAGCTGGCCTATTGATTTCAGGTTTTTATGTCAAACAAGAACATAGACTAATAAGTAAAACATTAACTAATAGCAAGAGGTTGAAACAGTTTATATCCAAACTCAGGGTAAAATGGTTTTATAATAACTTAAAATGTATGTTTATATATACACAAAAATCTTTTTTGTTACTTTTTATTAAAATACTCTGTTCTTAAATATATTGATATGTACAAAATAATTTTTATTTATATATACAAAATATTTTTTGGAAATGCATTTTTAAATCACTAGTAAAAACCTTGAAACTTCTGAAATATTCATGATAGTCTTAAAAAATACTTCTCCCCCAGGTAACTTACATCCATTATCTCTACTGACTTCAGATCCAACATTCAACTATATATGAAGTATGCACTCCAGATTCTCACAGTATGAGTGCTACACAACAGCACCAATGAAGAGATGGAGAATCCTTCATGTTTCAGATTTTAAAAAATAATGGTTAAGTACTAATCCCAGTGAAAAAAATATGCCCATCTAAGTTACATACTGCCTGCTCAATTTTATGTTAAATGATGATTTGTGACATAATTCATGTTTCAAAAGCAAATAACTAGTAGTGTTTAACATAAAGGGTATTTATGCCACCTGCTTATAGGTGTACAAGACATAAACTGTTTTAAGTTCTTTATGGTATTTTTAGGGACAAATAACAGATTCACAATTCCTAATCTCACAAATCCAAACTTGTGAATTTATAATTTTATCCACCACTTCACAGTGATTAGCTTTAGAGTTTAGTTTTAAAAAAGGAACACGTAGCATTTTAATGCTGAAGAAACTGATTGCCTGCAATTGTTCAATCAAATCAAAATCACAAGCAAAGAACCATGACTGAAGCAACAGAACTCAAATGTTTGGGAGAATAGCTAAAAAATTGCATAGATTAATATACTACCTGCTATTATTCTGAAGTGACAAAGTCTGTATAAATAATGTACTTTCATTGTGCAATTACTTGTGCAATATTGCAATAGCTAAGGTAATCTTGTGCTATTTGCTCAGTAGAAAATTTCCATTTGAGGATTTATGAGTTTCTCCATAATTGTCAAGCAATTGGGAGTCAGAAATTTCTACAGATCATCTGTTTTCCAGTACTCTCACGACAGATGACAGAGTAAAAAGAAAGCTGCACAGTATTTTTTCCCCCCAGTTCAACCCAAACCATCTTGCCTAATTCCTGTATGTGAAAAACACCTTCTGTTGCTCCATCACCCTCTGTCCCCTTCACTCTGCAAATGGAATACACATGCCAAGAAGAAAAAAGTCCGTATCAAACAGGTTAAATAATACGATCATTCAAAATCTCAGCTAACACTCTAAATAATGAAATAAAGGCAAAATATTTAAATTTGATCTGTTTTTTAAAAAGGCAGCTTTTCATAACCACTGCACAATGTGTTTTCAATATTTGAACTTCTCGTAAAGATAAGCATTGTATGTCAGACTCTACTACTCAATCTCCCAGAGTTTGCTACTGCAGTTTCAGAAATTTCTTTTTTAACATCTTCCTCATCACTACAACCCTTGCTCATGTTTAATTTTACAGAACTCCCATTTATATACAAAACAGTAGTTAGTGAAGGAAACTAATAATTACATAATTACTATATTAGGCTCTTGCCTGATTGCCTTCTCAGGGCACTCAGGCAGGTGTACAAATATGAAGAAAGATACTGCTTTATTTTTCAGGGCCATATTGAAGTGCATCTCCTTACTATTCCTGGTGCAAAACGGTATGATTGTCTGTGCCACATTAGGCAAATCAAAATCTACGTTACCCTGTGCCATAATTCAGAAGCTGCAAATTGGCTGCCTGTGTAAAAGGACAGGAACAAGAAGATGGGGGTCAAATCCCAGGAGTTTTAAAACAAAGATACTCTTTCAGTTTTATGTTCTCACATTTCTCTAGGTCCTGAGAGCAATCTAACTGAGTTGGACTAGACATCCCCTAGAGGTTTCTTCCAATGTGTATTATTCTATGATCTGCAGTCATAGCAATACGGAAGAATGGCTGTATTTAAGTATTTCTTTTAGAGATCTTTCTGGGCTCATTTTCAAGTCTGAAACTTCCACTACGTTTGGGAATGTCATACCCACACACTGTTAGGCATAAATTAATGTTTGCTCTTAAAACCATTTTTCCACTTCCATTGCAATACAGTAGAAATAAATGAAAAGCAAAATTTGTACTCAAATAAATTTTATTAGCTCAAAACAGTTTACACTCTATAACGAGATCTGTGATACACAATAAAGCCCATACGCTAGAAATCCTTTGTATGTAGTACAAACTGAAGGGTACCGTTCTACCAGTGCATCACATTTTTCAAAAAGAAAAACCTAGTGACAAGTGATGCAGACATGAAACAGGAATACTAAACAGCATGCAGTGCTTTAAAAGTTTACAAAGTCTACATTACTATACAAAAAATTCACAAACTGTACTGAGACATCCAAAATTTATTTTTAGTCTTGCAAGTGTAAGGAACAGTTCAAACATTTTAGAACCATTTCAAATGCTGGTAACACTTTGGATACTTTCTTGCATTTCAGAGCCAGATCCTACAGTATCAGTTCCAGAGCGGTTTACTGTCTGCAGTCTACTTTGGTCTCCTCTAGCTCCATCATTTGGAATTGCTGTTTCATTTGCTCTAGGGATGTATTTCTTTGAGGAACAATTTTTGCTTTTTTCATCAGAAGCGCCACTGGATATTCTGCTACCATTACTTTTAATATGTACACTGGAATCAGAAAATGAATGCAGACTGGTAACCAATTGCCTGGCTGAGTGATGTCCTTTTGCATGTTCATTTTGTTTGACTCTTCTCTCGGAGAACGTTGGAGTACTATTTCGAGGCTTATCCTCTTTATTTTGGTTTATTGTTTGAGCTTCATTTTCCTTCCATGAGCCTGGCTGGTACTGCTGCCCAGTAGTCTGAAGTTCTTGTATTTCTCGAAGAGCAGAGAAGGCATTATTCACAACCATCTGGGATTGAAACGTGCCAGGAAGCGAAACTTGGATGTCCCCAGCTCTGTTCTGAAATAAGAGATTCCAATTAAGATACTGATGCAACTAGAGAAAAAACCCCAGTATTGCAACTGCCATATACTAAAATCTGCAAAGCAAAATAAAGTCTTTACATAATATAGAAAAGACTCAGAGATAATAGCAGTCTCACAACCTTTATTACCTTTCAAAGCAAGCAAGTTTCAGAAGATTGCTAGGGTGATAATGACACAGATAAAGCATATTACAGTTTCACAACTAGCTTCAACTTTATACCACAGAAATGTGTCAGTTATACTAAGCAGCCAAAGCCTAATCATGTCTATCATTCTGAAATACCTACAATTCATTGTTTGCTCAAAATTCAGCATAGTGTGATCCCAATAGTCTATCCCACAATTCCTAGCTGCTACAAGAATTTGATTTAACCAATACTAGGAGATAAATATGAAAGTAGTGTTAAGTGTTAGCTGAAGCTTTTTGTAATCATCCTTTGCCGTGTATACTTAAAAAACACTTTAAGCTTAGGCTTCTAAATGTAGATGAACTAGAAAAACAATGATTCAAACAAACTGCATTAACAAGTTAATGTCACAGTGCAGAAGAGTCCAACAACTTCATGGATATGGTAATCATTACTTTCAGTCAGAGGGGGACAACAGCTGAAAAGTACATTAGATAGCATCAAGTACATTGCCACTAGCATTCCCTCTATAGACTTACTTTGCTATTCTGGGTATGTTCTTGTCTTTCTTCTTCAAAAGACTTCTCCTTTAGCATGTTAGCAGGCTTACTGAGAGTAGAATTCATTTGTGGATGCCCCAAAAGACCAAAATCTGACTGGTCTATACCAGCTAATACAGCAAGTTGTCCAAGTCTGTAAAATAAAGTTTAACAGAAAATAACACAAGAAATGCTTACCCTGTGAAAAATGTAAACATTCAAAACCAGAAGAAACAGAATCTGTTTGAAGCTTTGAAGATAGTTTTTCTCTTATTTTCTGAGAAGCCCAAAATAGCTTAATAAAGATGAAAACAAGTAGCTAAAGCTATTTTTCTATCCGTGCACAAATTAGCCTGCAGGTTCAAAACTGTCAGTCTTCCTCACTGTTATGAGGCTAAGAATTAAGTTCTCTGAGTTAGCATTGATCTCAGAGCAGGATGCTGACAAGCAGATTCCCTGTCAGGCAGAGCAAAGATTATTCAAGCAGAAGATTGGTGCACATCTCCCAAACTAGCATAATCTCTAACAGCCAAATCCAATTACATGCTTCACAAATACAGTCATGTTGTTTCACCTGCCAGCTTACAAGTTGGCCAAACCTACCACTTGGGTGTTTTAAGCCGCAATAAGAAGTGAGAAGTTGAAACCATGAATTGGTAGCACAGCATTAAAGAGACGCTTATTGAGAAAAGCAGTCTTTGTGATCGGGATTCTGTAACTTTCAGAGCAGATCCCTATTATCATGAACAGATGTAGGACCCATATGAAAAATTTATTTTTTATGTAGTGAGAGAGCATTTTTTCCTTCCTCCAAAGTTTGAAATTCATTCTTAAAGTAATGGCAACTCTACCAGTTGATTGGCACAAAATTAGAACACAGCCTCAGGGTGAACTTTACATTAAGTTACATTATTACAATTTGGAGGTGGATGGAAGTAGGAGGCAGGGAGGGAAAATAAAATCTTCAGTGGTCTTCTCTGAACATGCAGAGTAGACTACAATGTATGTTCATCATTCCTTCATTCTCCTGGACGAGATTGCCATGCCTGGCTACCTTTACAAAACAGGTTTGAGAACTTAAGCTGAAATTCTTTGACAAATGGGAAGGATGAACCATCCTCTGAGAAACTGCAGGTACAGTGGTAAAGCCTTAAGACAAACTTCAATCAGTACTCTCTAAAGTATTTCAAGTACTAATAAGTCATCCAGAATTTAAGTACAGAGGCCAGATTCATCCATCTAGATTTCTGTACTTCAATTAGTAAAAGGGGGCCCAAGACAACAGGACACTTTCTAAAGCCGGTTCAACTGCATTTTGAGCCTTTCATATTATGGGAATGCTAAGAGCCACAGGTGATCCAATAAAGACTTGGAAACATGCTTTAATAGAAGCTTTCTTCTTTTGGAATGGGCTTCTCGAAAGCCTTTCCCAAGGACAGATACATTAATTCAGCTGGACAGTGCTTGGATCACTGAGATCACTTTTCCCACTGAGAAGAGACTGAACAGTAGGTAGATACAGTTAATTTTTCTTCCTTTACTCCTTGCGAGTACAGTCCTAGAGATCTGGGGGAAGGAGGCAGCATACTTCATTGGGAGGATAATTTTGAAAAGACATCTCAGCAGAAACAGTAAGACTTAAGTAAAGTGACAACCTACCCAGCATCTTTAAGGAGGTCTAAAAAAGCATGGAACTTTTGGAAAGAGTTCTCAATGCTGCCTAGAACACCTTCATCTTCCAATATCATGTTGGTTACTGACTGTGCGTGAAGAACCTCAGACAGGGAGATATTTAGATTCCTTAATCTTGCATTTTCAGTTTCCAGCTATGGGGGAGGAGGGGGGGAGGGAAGAAAAAAGGTAAAGTAATTTCTATCATTGTCAGTTTAAAAAAAAAAAAAATCCAAAAAACTCAACCCCACCTTTGCAAGTCTATAGAGCAGTATCACAAAGAGAAATACCCAAAGTAACTGACGTAACTGATATAGAGCTTCCTGTACCAGAAACGTTCAGGGCACTATTACACTGAGCTCTGTGCAGGTTTGTTTATCCACAGCTGCAATTCTACGCTACCATAGTGAAACTGCTGCAGGCACACAAAACTGCTGGGTCAGCCCTGTCTTAAGTATGTACAGAATGTTGTAGAGCAAGTCCAAGAAAAAAAATTAGCTTTCATATCATGGTTTTTTGCACTTATTGTATGACACATTAACACCAAAGACTTTATTTTACTAATAAAAAAACGTTAATGAAGGCCAGTGCTCTCCTTATATTCTCCCCTCTGTATCAGAGGGAATGCATACTACTGTATCTCTCCCCTGCACTGTGCATCCCAAAATTGGAAGTTTAAGATGATCTGATTTTTCTTCACATTGAACATTAATCAAATCCAGGACAAACTGAAAGTTGAATGATAACTGTAGGATATACAGGGTTTTGTGTTTGAGGGAAACATTAACTCAGACACTCATTTGAGATTACAGCTATGCAATCACTGCTACCATGGGCTTTCCTTCTTTCATCTTTTGTAAGAGGACAAAAAATTATAGATCTGTGTAGTGCACTGTAGCTGTTAAGCTGTTAAACTAGCTAAAACGAACAATTTTAGAGATTACTGCTACTTAGTTTATCCCTTCTCCTGAGACAAGGTGCTAGGTCCAAGCAGTCTAGCATGACAGAGAAAGATTTGTTACAGTGAGTATTTAGCCTAAAAAGCATTTAAGTATCCAAAAAACAGATATCCAGCAGAGCCCACTGGTGCACTTCACATTACAGGAGGATGGGAATGGCTGCACCGGAGGACTACAATGAACCTTGTAGAGTGCAGAGTCCTTTGTGGTATCTGCTCCCTGTACTGTGGGGTACCACTGGTTGCTCAAGTTACAAAGGGCACCACCACTTTCATTCCTTTCCAGATCACATCTAAGAATCAAATCCATTCATTTACACTATCTTGCACTCGAACTCCATTACAAGAAATTCTGCTTATTGATGCAAAATTATCTTTTTAGGTCAGCAACAATGGACAGAGGGGAAATAGACCTCATAATTTAACTGTGACAAGTTGTTAGTTCGGTTCTGTCATAATGCGAAATTGCACTTCGCAACAACTAACAGCTATGGCCAATGTGCTATGCAGAAAACCAACATTTTTACTGCCTGCAGAAACAAAACTTAAAAATCAAAGGGACAGAATAAGCCAAATTAAACAACATTTGCAACAAACAGTTTTTCAGCGCATGTCACGATAAAGAAGGTGGGAGACCTCAAAGAACTATCCATCTGCTGCAAATTGCAAACAGATTTAATCACTTTCTCAAGAAAAACAAACATCAGGATGCCCCAGATCATAAGTAATACACCAAATGAATGAAACACATTGAAAGAGTAGCTTCACCCAGAGTTCAAGGCTCTGGAATAGGATCAAGAGAACAAACACACATTACTAAATGCAGATTTCGTCATTGCCCTTAGGCTAGTAAATGATCCACGTGACTTTGAACTGAAACTCTGGAAGCTACCACATTAGAGGTCATTCATAATTACTCCTAATTAAGCAAGTGGATAGTTTGATTAGTGCCTCCTTTAAAAGTAAGGATGATTAACAGTTAAGTATCATTACCTCCATTATCCGTTCCTCAGCCTTTACTCTGGCTCTTTGTTCTTCCTTTAATTTTTCCATGCATTCCTCCAGCTCCAACTATGGTAACACAGATAAACTATCATGAAATTTATCTCAAAATGTCAGATCAACATGCAATACTATACAAAACCTCAACGTGTCCAATTAATAACTAGCACACGGCATTCCAAGCAATAACATACCTTCCACAAAAATACATGACAAAGGTCTACCAGCATTAACTCTAGGATGCAAAAAATTAACACAGGAAAGTGGAAATAAGTGTGATTCACTTAACAGATTTGCAATATGGCAATAGATATACGATGAAACGAGATTATAGCACAAGTCTCTTGAGCCTATGACATTACTGTCAGGAATATATGTTCTTCTCTACTTCCTCTTCTTCCCCTTTTCAAACTCATTTTTAACTAAATACATCTACTCATCAAAAGCCCAAATTGGGCTCTAAAAAAAATCCTTAGTAGCCATACCTAGCTTTTCAAAATGTACTCTTCATCCAGTATTTTATTCCTTATTACAGCAGTAGGAATACAAAATTCTGAACTGTAAGAACTGTACTCTTTTCAATTGGTTTTATTTAGTTCTTCAGCAGAAAAAATAAGTTTTTCACAATCTGATGTTGTTTGAGTGAGTTAAGCAGCTTAGTGTGGAATTAACAACAACAAAAAGAAACCCAAACATCTAACAAATATATTCTAGTCTTATTCATGAGATGCCTACACTTGTATTTTAACTTTTAGTTCTGAGTAGTGAATCTCTCAGTTTCAGTGGACAGTAGTCAAGATTTGATAAGCAATCGCCACGTTTTCTCATATCATAGCAGAACATTATGATCTTTAATTACAGCATCTGAAGTAGAAGCACAAATAGGAATTTTTTGTTCTTGCATGCCTTTACACAGTCTTCTGGTTCCAAAGGTGAAAACTTAAAATTATCAAACTGCTCTATTTTTCAGAGGGTAACCTACATGAATTAATAGTATACAAAGCTTCTTCATTTCTCTATACACCTTGCATACAGGCATATATATGCAACACAGGACACTGCTTTTTGTACACACCTTATCAATCAGTTCTACAGAGGAGCAAAGATCCAAATAGAACTGAAATCCTTTGTTTACTATCAAAAGCTTATTCAAGAACATACTACTGCACTTCATACAAGCAATCAACTGAGAAGACTGGTGTGCAACAGAAATGCATAGCAAAAATAATCCTTCTACAAATGCAAAGAGGTTCTCACAAACCTTGTATGATGCAAGGGACTTTTGTATCCGATTCAAAGGTGCAGGTTCTAAAATATCCTAGATATAGCCCTCCCAATGACAACCACTGAGATTGAAGATTACGGGTCTGTCACTACTGTCCAGTGAAGCCTACTCCTAAGATCCCTAGACTGGCATCAACCAAGCTAACCCTGGAACTAAAAAGCTAGTCATATCTTTATCATCTGAACACACAAGAAAGACTCTCAGAGGTCAGAAGGTACAGGAAAACCACATTTCAGACAGTATTTGGGAAGAGATTTAAGAGTATCTATCTGCCATGATGTATCAAAATCGCCTCCAGGCATAGGGTGGAGGGGGAATCTCTAAGGAGACACCTCAACAAATACCACAATCTTACTGCAATCTACCTCAGAACATGTGGAAATAATAGGACCTAGAAATCCGTTTATAGATACAGAAGCACAGCACAGAAAGTAGCAACCATTATGTTCTACATCCACACCTTGACATGTAAGCTGGAATCCTGTAACCTAGCTTTGAAGATCAGTCAGAAGTACCACGGACTTGCAGAATTCTTACAATTCCATTTATAGCATGTATGCGTATGTATATACGCATTTTAAAGCTTCTAGGGTGTAGGGTTTTTTAGCAAGCAACCCTACTTTAGAAACCTTAGTTCTATAGTATTTTTGTTGTGGACAGATTTTAGACAATTCTAAAGGTGGCAGCACTGACCTTTTTCTTCAGATTGCTGGTTTGTATTTTCACAGGGCAAAGGCTTAAAAAATAGTTAAATTATCAAGATTTTTTAAATAGGAATTTGGAGGTTCTGTAGTTTTGTTTAAACTTGATTTATGACACTGTACATATACACAATATTTGATGGTTATGGGCTGACTTCACAAAAAATTTGACAAACACTGCAGCTACATCTCCTCATAAGCAGTATCAGAAGTCTACATTTAAAGGAAGATGCCTTGCACCTGTGCAAACATATTTGTCACCATTAAATTAGAAGTATATGTACGCTTTATTCTTTGATTTGCTTTTGAGAAATTCACTAGCTTACACAATCCTCTAGTCTTTGTAAAGAAAAAATCTGTTAAAATACATCAGAATGCACTAAATGTACATCCAAGCTACAAGACTGCCCCTTCTAGTAGTGTAGTCCAGAAAGTCCACTGACAGCCTTTAAGATGAAGTTGAATAGCAAATGTATCTGTAGCCCTCAGAATTACTGTATGCAATATGACTACTCAACACTGGGCAGAGGTATAAAACTGAAGGTTAAAAACTAAAAATACTAAAAAAATTTAGTAACTAATTAGCCATGTTTATCTACTTGATTACATTGTTGTCGTTATTTTTAAAGAAGTTATAGTGCAATCTCTACTTCTATGTAATTCACATAGTATTAATGTGTAGAAAGAGTTACCTTGCCAACTATATTTTAAGGGTGAAGTTCACCATTTATACCCTTAGTTAAAATTTCAAAATGTGGGAGTCTTATTAATTACATTCTTCATGTGAGGCAATTCTGACATTTCACATTCCCTCTAGTGGAAGGAAAGAATATTTATCAGTTCTTATTTTTCATTTAAGCAGAAATCAAGCTTTTTGTTAGCCAAGGGATTTTTTTTTAAAAATGAAAACACAACTAAGGTCTCACTAAGTAATACGCTCAAAACCCCTTTTTGAGCAGAAGGATGCAGAGAAGTTCTCAAGGACTTGCATACTAAAGTGAAAGTCTGGTCATTTAGCCACATCAAGGGATGTTTGGAGAGCTTTTTTGGCACAGTGGCAGTTTAAGCAGTTCCCGCCTCTTACTGCTTATTCCCACTCTGCAATCCCATCATTGTTCTAGCACAGCTGGTTGTCCCACTTTACTGAAAGGCTGTGCCAAGGCCTGCTACAGCCAAATATGCTGGATTACTTTTCAGCTAGATCAGTTCCTCAAGTCAGCTCCCCACTCAAGCAGCCCTGCAGTGAGAGCTGTTTAATTACAGTACCTAAGCCCAATTAACGCAGATAAAAAGGGTCCTCCACTTCGCCTCTCACATTATCAGCCATAGACTTTGCCACTTGCCACTGGAACGCACCCAATCACATAAGCCAACGTGAGTCATTAAGATGGCTGAAAACTAACCCAGAAAGGTATCACAGAACCACAGACTGGTTGAGGTTGGAAGGGACCTCTGGAGGTCATCTGGTCCAACCCACTGCTCAAGCAGGGCCACCTAGAACAAGCTGCCCAAGACCATGTCTAGATGTTTAGTATCTCTAAGGAGGGACTCCACAACCTCCCTGGGCAACCTGTGCCAGTGCTCAGTCACTCTCACGGTAAAAGTGTTTCCTGATGTTCAGAGGGAACTTCCTGTGTTTCAGTTTGCGCCCACTGCCTCTTGTCCTGTCACTGGGCACCACTGGAAAAAGCCTGGCTCTTTGCACCCTCCCTTCAGGTATTTATATACATTAACATAATCCCCCCTGAGCCTTCTCTTCTCCAGGCTGAACAGTCCCAGCTCTCTCAGCCTCTCCTCAGAGGAGAGATGCTCCAGTCCCTTAACCATTCTTGCGGCTCTTTGTTGGACTCTCTCCAGTATGCCAATGTCTCTCTTGTACTGGAGAGCCCAGAACTGGACACAGTACTCCAAGTGTGGCCTCACCAGTGCCGAATACAGGGGAAGGATCACCTCCCTCAGCCTGCTGGTAACATTCCTCTTAATGTAGTCCAGGATGCCATTCACCTTCTTTGCCATAAGGGCGCACTGCTGGCTCGTGTTCAACTCTGTGTCCACCAGGACCCCCAGGGCCTTTTCTTCAATGCTGCTTTACAGATGGTCTGCCTTACCATATATTGGTGCATGGGGTTGTTCTTCCCCAGGTGCAGGAGTTTGCACTTTTCCTTGTTGAACTACATGAGTTTTCTCCCCATCAGCAAGTTGAATCAACTTGCCTTATGATCAGATAAACATGAAAAAAGACACAAGAGAAAAAGACTGAAGCAAGAAATGGAAAAGCACTGCGGGTCGGAGGGGAAATAGATCTCACAATTCAATGGTGACAAGTTGTTAGTTCAGTTCTGCCATAATGTGAAACTGTGCTTTGCATCACCGAAACAAAAAGAATGGGTGAGGCACAGAAACCATTTAAGACTGCTTAAACAGTGCTGTCAGATATGCAACTGTGGCCTAAAAAAGTATTTTGGTTTTCAAATTCAGAAAATCAGGAAAATCTGGACCTTTACAAGCACAGGAAACTTAGAACCAATTTTGGGGTAAGTTCCTAAAATTTGCAGTTTTACCTCCCAGGAAGCTCAAATTAATCACAAATTATCCCTTCCTTACAGTTGCTTACATTATACTATAGGTAACACTGACAACATAGGTCGATATGACAATCCTTCCCTAAAGCACAAAACACTTCTGCCTCTGCAAAGTGCCCTGAAAGTAATATTCCTCCCTCTCCAAACACCAAGAATAAATACATCAAGTGTTTCCTGAAAGCATCTTGCTTGCTGCATAGAAGTTTTTGGCACAATATGCACGTGACATGGAATTCCACGATTCCAGACACAATGCTCTTGTTGAAGAGTGTTGAAGCCACTGCACAGCACAATGTCAACATATTGCAGTAATACGAAGTCACTACGAAGAAGAAAGCCGCTATACAACTTTAAGTCCCAGCAACATGTGAAAACCTTGAAAAGCTGCCTGAACAAAAGTTCTAGAGAGAAAAAGGGTAGGCCTAAAAAAAAAGGTATACACCAGCTGAAAAAAAAGGCAGGTAGTTATTTATGCAGTATTTGTACACTCCTTTTGCTTTCCACAGTAACTCCTCGGCCCTGATTTGACAATATGCTTATAGCGTACACATCTTCATTAGAATTATTCAGAGATTGGAAATCCAGCGCATATCTGACACACATCTTTTGAAACGGAAGCCTGTGTAACATAATGCAAGATAATCAGAAGTTATTCAGAAGTCCTGCTCTGTGACTGGTTATTAGCTTAACCATAATTTTCTGAATAAAACATGGTTTAATTGATATAATTTGCCTTTATGGAATTTAAGGCACAGAACATGCTTCTTACCTGTAATTGTTGATACTTTGTTACGTTAATCTTATCTAATGATTTTGCCAAATCAGGGTGATGGATAACATCATCTAAATCTTCTGTGTCTTCGGTTTCAGATGTAGAAGTGCTTTCTACTGTCACTTTCACAGGAATACCTGTCTAATTACATCAGAAAAGAAAAACACACCCACTCACAGCATTACACTGTGCAATAAAAATCAAAGATTAAATAGTATCAAAAGCTTAATTTAAATGCAATTGTTTCCCAGAGTCCCTTACAGTGCATATACATCGTCCAGCTATGCAATTTTGAAATTTGCATATAGCAATATTAAAAAAAACCAAAACAATATATGTGTGCATATATTGGGTACACATGGCAAGGATTTAGTCACAGGGGCTGCAGGGCGGCCCCTGGGCAGAGAGGCCAGGGCTGCCCCCTG